GGATAGCGCGGGGTAGCTCGTTCCAGAGCGTGAATTACCTATCTCGCTTTCGCTTCCAGGCAAAACCAAGTCATACCACGCGCCTCCTCGTCAAGCGGCCTGACCAGTACAGGCCGTAGTTTGGCATCGCTTGGTATCTCCTGGAAGCGAGGGTGGTCAAAAGCGAGGTAGGTTCGTTTGCCCCCTGTCGTTGCCTCGAGGAGACGGATCCCCAGTTCGCATCCTTAGCACTGCGGCGCGGTGCGCGAAGGCCGAAGCGGAGGGGCCCTGCGGCCCCGCAATAGGCTAATTAGAGGAGGCACATGATGATTCTGATTATGATGATGCTGATGATGCTGCTGATGACGATGCTGCTGATGATGATGCTGCTGATGATCATGATGCTGCTGCTGATGAACATGCTGAGGATTCTGATGATGATGGTCATGATGATCATGATGCGGCTGATGATGCGGATGATACTGATGATGATTACGTTGATGCTGGTGATGCTGCTGATGAGGATGATGATGCTGATACTGATGCTGCTGCTGATGCTGCTGATGCTGATGCTGATGCTGCTGATGATGATGCTGATGATGATGATTATGATTGTGACGGCGATTACGTTGATGATGATGACGTTTATTATGACGACGTTGATGATGATGCTGCTGATGACGATGCTGCTGGTGAGGCTGATGATGAGGATGACGATGGCGATGGTGCTGCTGATCATAGTCATGTTGATGTTGTTGCTGTTATGGTTTGTGCTTCTGCGGCTGCTGTTCATGTTGTTGCTGTTGTTGTTTTGCTTTGATGTGGTTGTTGCTGCTGTTGTTGATGCTGTTGCTGTTGTTGTTGGTGTTGTTGATGATGCTGTTGCTGAGGTTGATGGTGTTGATGATGATGATGACGATGACGGCGGTGACGATGACGATGATGATGCTGCTGATGATGATTTTGATGATGCTGATGATTCCGATGATGATGATGATGATGATGATGATGATGATGCTGGTGATGATGATGATGATGATGATGATGATGATGATGATGATGATGATGATGATGATGATGATGATGATGATGATGATGATACTGATGCTGCTGCTGCCGATGATGATTTTGCGGTGTTTGCTGATGATGTGGGTGTTTGTGGTGATGTTGATTGTAGTTTTGGCTTCGGTGGTGGTAATGATGAGGCGGCGGCGGCGGATTGTGCTGATGATGGGAAATATGATTGTTTGTCGTTATGGTGGTGGTGGTGGTGATGATGAAGAGGAGTGTGCGGAGGAGGATTAGGAGGATGATTCAGGGTAGACGTGGGGATGGACGGTGAGGACGCTGAGGGTGGTAGATCAGGCTGAGGGGGTGGAGGAGGCGGAGGAGTAGGAAGATGAAGGGGGAAATGAGGCTTGGGAGGGAGACGGGGGAGGGCGAAGGAGGATTGTGGGGAGGAGGAGGAGGGGTGCAGGCGGAGTGTCTTTCTCCCCGCTCCGCCTCATTCTTCCTAGACCCAGGGTCCCCATCAGACCCCCCCCCTTTGGAACCTCCTAAGGACTCCCTGAAGCCCGGAGTGAATATCTGTCTCGAGAAGAGGGGGCGCTCTTCGAGGGACCCATGCCCTTGTATTCTGGGCGTTCCCGGGCGCTCCTGGGTGCTCTCGGGCGCTCTTCCATGCTCTTCCCCCCCTCTCCAGCTTGACCTTGCCGGAGGCCTCGAGAGCGTGCTCCCCCGCCGCCCGCGGGGGCCCTCTCCGCGGCCTTGCGCTCGCCGCGTCCTCTGCGCCTCGCTCGAGAGACCTGCGGGGCACTCGCCGGCACTCGCATGCGGCGACGGCGCCTCCATCGACCTTGGCATCGCTCGGACGTGTGCATTTCTCCTTCGGCGAGGACCATCGAGGAGCATCCTTGATCATTTGGCGAAAAGGCCACGCACGGAACCGAAACAAACACAGGGAATGGACGTCCGAGCGATGGCCAGCAGGTGCTGCTGCTGCGCAGGCCGCGACGGCGCCTCCATCGGAGGCGTGGACGCGTGGGCGCGCGAGCGGCCCGGCGCTGCACGGCGCGAGGGGGTGGCGCTCTCCGTGTCCGTCGGCAGAGCCTCCGGCTCTGGGCAGCCCCGGAGCGGACATTTGGCCTCCTCCTCCTCCCTCCTCCTCCTCCTCCTCCTCCTCCTCCTCCTCCTCCTCCTCCTCCTCCTCCCCTTCCTCCTCGTCCTCCCCCTCCTCCTCCTCCTCCTCCTCCTCCTCTCCTCCTCCTACTTCCCGCGTTCCTCGGGACGCGCCCTCGCGGCGCGCCGCCGACACTTCGCCGGCGGCGGCGCCCGCAGACGGCGGCCGAGCGCCCGCTGCCGGGCGCGGGGGCGGCCTGCCCGCAAAGCGTCACCCCAACATACCTATACTACAGTCAGCCATGGTAGTGAGGATGGGGCAACTTTCCAAGGCTGCCCTTGCATCCTGCCCCTTCGGTGTTCGGCATTCTTCGGTATGCTGCTGCGCTCCGCACGGAACACGTCAACATGGCGTTTCAAGGCCCTTGCATCCGTACTGCGCATCCTTACTATCCATGTCGAGTGTATATGTGCGTCGCCCCCCGAGGGTGATGCGCGGCACCGAGAAATCTTATGATGTATGCGTTGTGGCGGGCGCATTTTGGCCATACCGCTTGGGCAACGATGTTCTGCAAGATGGTTGTACGATATGTTCGGGTCGGACGCGCGCCTCCAAGGAATACGTATAGTATTAGTATGTGTCTGTGCGTCCAACAGAAGCCCTCGGAGCGCTGCCCGTTCCAGGGAATCGGAGCGCTGTGTCGGACAAACGCGACTGGTCGCCGTTTTCTCATTCATTGTTTTGCCGATCGGCGCGGGCCCTCGCCCCCCCCCTCCCCCCCCTTGTGGAGTAGATCTTGACTGCTTCGGGCGCGTGCTTCACGCAGGTTGAGGCTCCCCCGTGGGACGCACTGCTGCAAACAGTCGCATCAAGCAGAGGTCCTGAGCCAGACCCTCCCCCCTTCCCCCCCTCCCGCCCCATGCCGAAGCATGTGGGCCTGTTTTTTTCCACCACCACCACAAGTCGGAGGGGGAGGGGGCCCTCCTCCTCCTCTTCCTCCTCCTCGTCCCTCCACCTCCTCCCCCCCTCCAGCCTGTGGTGGTGGTGGTGGTGGTGGTGGTGGGGAGGAGGAGGAGGAGGAGGAGGAGGAGGAGGTAGGAGGGAGGATGGAGGAGGGAGGATGTGAGGAGGGGGGGTGGGAGGGTGGGAGGAGGAAGAGGAGGAGGAGGCCCACCAGCAGCGCCGAGCACGACGACGCTCGCCCGGCCTCTTCGCCCCCGGGTCCTCGGCGGTCGGGCGTCTGGGCCTCCTCCCCGCCTGCCCTGCCCTCCTCCCTCGGGGCGGCGGGGAGGGGAGGGCGCCGCGCCCGCTCTCGCGCGCGCGGCGCCCCCCCGAGCTGCTCGGTGGTCTTCGGCCCGGTCTCCTCGTCCTCCTCGTCCTCCTCGTCGTCCTCCTCCTCCTCCTCCTCCTCCGTCTACTCCCCTTTCCTCCTAATCCTCCTCTGCCTCCTCCCTCCTCCTCCTCCTCCATCTCCGCCTATCCCTTCTTCTCCTCCTCCTCTTCCTCCGCCTCCTCCTCCTCGTCCTCCTCCTCCTCCTCCTCCTCCGCCTACTCCCTTCTCCTCCTCCTCCTCCCCCTCCTCCTCCTCCTCCTCCTCCTCCTCCTCCTCCTCCTCCTTCCTCCCGATCCCCTTCCTCTGCTACTTCCTGTGCCGGGGTCGTGGTTGGGGCGCCTCTGGGGCTTCTTTAAGGCCTCTTCGGGGTCTCGAGGGGGCCTCTGGAGGCGCCTTTTGGGCCTTCTTGCGGGCCTCCTGGGCGCCTCTTCGGACCCATCCGGGGCCTCTCTGGGGCCTGGCGGGTGCCTCGGGCGGACGGAATGCTTCAGATGGTTGTTTGACTGCTTCCTCGCCCCTCTTGTTAGCCTCTTGGGAGCCCCCAGAGAGCCCCAGGATGGTCCTTTGTGGCTACGGAGGGTCTCTAATTAGGCCTTGCGGATAGTTTCTTGCTGAGCTGTTGGGGGGAATTGGAGTCGGTTTGGGCGGGTTTGTCATCTTGGATGCCCATGCGGGAAATATTTGAGACGCCAGGGATTACGGGCAACTCTGTTTTTTTTGGGGGGGGGGGTTTGTTTGGTCAGAATCCTGCAAACCTCTAGCCTCTAGCACTCACATCTCCATCAGCCTTGGGCCGCTATGTGCCGATGGTCCGGTGGCGAGCCCTGGCGAGCGCGTCATGTTCGTGCGACTTGACGTCCATACACTGGTTCAACATCTACACGCGTTTCGATTCGTGCAACATTTCAAAGCGAAAGCGTGATCGTGACACCGTGTCAGCTCTCCGACTTTCCTTCTACTTGCCTGCCGCACTCCCGCCCCGCTTTCCCCTAGCCCTCCCAGATGGGATCCGAGCAGATGGGGTCGGAGGATCGCGCCGCCTCGCCGATGCATCGGCGATGCGGCTTTATACGGAGACCTGTTTTCTTAACGTCGACAGCGCAGATGCATCGCCGACGTCGCCGATGCATCGGCTATGCACTCGCGATTTGGCGCAATCTCCTTCACCCCTCTACCGAAGACACGCGACATAGACATCGACTTCGGAGGTGTGCGCGAATTTCTTGGATCGGCGCTGGCCCCCCCTTTCCGGCGCGCGGAGCGCGCCAGGGGAGGCGCTGGAGGCGCCCTCATTTTTTTTTTTTTGTTATTGTTTTTTTGTTTTTTTTTGTTTTTTGATTTTTTGGGTCGTGTTTTCTTTTGTTTTTTTTTGCTTGTTTGATGTTCCAATGATATTTTGTGTGTTGTTAGTTGATTTTGTTGTTGTTTGTTTGCGCATGGTGGTTTTGTATGGGAGGTCTACATTTCCTCTGCTGCCTCCTCTCGCGCCCTACTGCCCCCCTCCCACTTATGCGTCTCATCTGCGCGCTCGAGGTCGAGGTGAACACCCAGATCGACAGCTTCTACAAGGCCCGCGGGGCCAAGCAGCAGTCTCTGGTGGTTGGGAGGAGGGGCAATGTTAGGAGGACGACGATAGCTGACCATATGAAAACAGGGACAAGGAGGAGGGCGCATGGGTTGGAAGAAGAAAGATAGTAGAAGTCGTCGTAGCAGTGGTGGTAATGGTAGTGGTAGGAGTAGTGGTAGTGGTAGGAGTAGTGGTAGTGGTGGTAATGTTAGGTTTAGTGGCAGTGGTAGTGGTAGTGGTGGTGGTAGTGGTAGTGGTACTGGTACTTGTACTGGTAGTTGTAGTAGTGGTAGTCGTGGTAGTAGTAGTAGTAGCAGTAGTAATATTAATAAAGGTAGTACTAGTTGTAGTCGTGGTATTAGTAGTGGTGGTAGTAGTACGAGTAGTCGTATTAGTAGTCGTAGTAGTGGTAGTAGAAGTTGTAGTCGTGTTGGTAGTAGTGAAGGTAGTAGTAGTAGTAGTAGTAGTAGTAGTCGTAGTAGGAGTAGGAGTAGTCGTAGTAGTAGTAGTAGTAGTAGTAGTAGTAGTAGTAGTAGTAGTAGTAGTAGTCGTAGTCGTAGTCGTAGTCGTAGTACTAGTAGTCGTAGTAGTAGTAGTAGTAGTAGTCGTCGTCGTCGTAGTAGTAGTAGTAGTCGTAGTAGTAGTAGTCGTAGTAGTAGTTGTAGTAGTAGTAGTAGTAGTAGTAGTAGTAGTAGCAGCAGTAGTAGTAGTAGTAGTAGTAGAATTTGCCGTAGCAGTCATACTAGTGGCAGTAGTAGTAAACGTAGTAATCTTAGTCGTAGTAGTCGCCGTCGTCGTCGTCGTCGTCGTAGTAGTAGTAGTAGTAGTAGTAGTAGTAGTAGTAGTAGTAATAGTAGTGGTAAGGCGTAGTCGTAGTAGTGGTAGTAGTAGTAGCAGTAGTAGCAGCCGTAGTAGTATTAGTAGTGGTAGTCGTAGTAGTCGCAGCTGTCGTCGTAGTAGTCGTCCTCGTAGTAGTGATCGTAGTAGTAGTAGTAGTAGTCGTAGTAGTAGTAGTAGTAGTAGTAGTCGTCGTAGTAGCAGTAGTAGTAGTAGTCTTAGTAGTAGCAGTAGCAGTAGTAATAGTAGTAGTAGTAGTAGTAGTAGTAGTAGTTGTCGCAGTAGTAGCAGTAATAGTAGTAGTAGTGGTAGTAGTAGTAGTAGTCCTGATACTTCCCAGCATGGTGGTCGTAGTAGTCGTAGTCGCAGTAGCAGTAGTATTCGTAGTAGTAGTAGTAGTAGTAGTAGTAGTAGTCGTTGTAGTAGTAGTAGTAGTAGTAGTAGTAGTAGTAGTAGTAGTAGTAGCAGTAGTAGTAGTCGTAGTAGTAGTAGTAGTGGTAATAGTAGTAGTAGTAGTAGTAGTAGTAGTAGTAGTAGTCGTCGTCGTCGTCGTCGTCGTAGTCGTAGTAGTAGTTGTTGTTGCAGGGGTGGTCGCAGTAGCAGTAGTAGTAGTCGTGGTAGAAGTAGAGGTAGTAGTAGGAGTAGTCGGGGTGATCGTAGTAGTAATAGTGGTAGTAGTGGTAGTAGTAGTAGTAGTAGTAGTAGTAGTAGCAGGAGTCGTAGTAGTAGTAAGTAGTAGTAGTAGTAGATAGTAGTAATAGTAGTTTAGTAGTAGTAGTAGTAGTAGTAGTAGTGTCTACTAGTAGTAGTAGTAGTCGTAGTAGTAGTTTAGTTAGTAGTAAGTAGTAGTAGTAGTATAGTGTAGTAGTAATAGTAGTAGTAGTAGTCGTAGTAGTAGTAGTAGTAGTAGTAGTAGTCGTCGTAGTAGTAGTAGTAGTCGTAGTAGTAGTTGTAGTAGTAATAATAGTAGTAGTAGTCGTCGTCGCAATAGTAGTGGCAGTAGTAGTAGTAGTAGTAATAATAATACTAGCAGTAGTATTAGTCGGAGAAGTAGTGGTAGGCGTAGTAGTAGTAGTAGTAGTAGTAGTAGTAGTCGTCGTAGACTGAGTAGTGGTAGTAGTCGTGGTCGTAGTCGTAGTAGTACGATCAGTAGTCGCAGTAGTAGTCGTTGTCATAGTCGTAGTAGTCGTTGTCGTAGTAGTAGTAGTAGTGGTAGTAATAGTAGTAGTAGTAGTAGTAGTAGTGGTGGTGGTGGTGGTGGTGGTGGTAGTCGTTGTCGTAGAAGTTGTAGTAGTAGTAACAGCAGCAGCAGCAGCAGCAGCAGCAGCAGCAGCAGCAGTAGTAGTAGTAGTAGTAGTAGTAGTAGTAGTCGCAGGGGTAGTAGTCGCTGGCGTCGTCGTCGTCGTCGTCGTCGCCGTCGTAGTAGTAGTAGTAGTAGTAGTATTAGTGTTAGTAGTAGTAGTAGTAGTAGTAGTAGTAGTAGTAGTAGTAGTAGTAGTAGTAGTAGTAGTGGTAGTAGTAGTAGTAGTAGTAGTAGTCGTCGTAGTAGTCGTAGTAGTAGTCGTAGTCGTAGTTGCCGTAGTCGTAGTAGTCGTAGTAGCAGTAGTGGTAGCTGCAGAAGTAGTAGTAGTAGTAGTAGTAGTAGTAGTAGTAGTAGTAGTAGTAGTAGTAGTCGTAGTAGTCGTAGTAGTAGAAATAGTCGTAGTAGTAGTAGTAGTAGTAGTAGTAGTAGTAGTAGTAGTAGTAGTAGTAGTCGCAGTCGTAGGCAATAGTAGTAGTAGTAGTAGTAGTAGTTAGTAGTAGTAGTAGTGGTGGTGTAGTAGTAGTAGTTAGTAGTAGCAGTAGTAGTGGTAGTAGTATAGTAGTTAGTAGTAGTAGTAGTAGTAGTAGTAGTAGTAGTAGTGGTAGTAGTAGTAGTAGTAGTAGTAGTCGTCGCCGTAGCCGTGGCAGGCCTAGTCGTATCATTATCAGGTCGTAGTCCAGCGCAGTGTATAGCAGTAATAAGAGTAGCATCGTGGTCGTGGCGCAGTCGCAGTCGTAGGGCAGTAGGTGCCGTAATGCATGATTGTAGTCGTAGCTGTAGTTGCAGGCGTAGTCGTGGTCCTAGTCCTAGTCCTGGTCGTGGTAGTGTAGTCGTAGTCGTAGCCAGTTGTCGTAATAGTCGTAGTAGCTGTGGCAGCGCCGTTTGTCCGTAGTGGTAAAATATGTTGCAGTCGACGTGGTTTCTGGTAGTGGCAGTGGCATTGGCATTTGTTAGTCGTAGTTGTAGTAGTCGTAGTACTCCTGGTCGTAGAAGTAGTCGTGGTCGTACTTGTAGTATCAGTAGCAGTAGCAGTAGTAGTAGCCGAAGTTGTAGAAGTTGTAGTGGTAGTAGCAGCGGTACTAGTGGCAGTAGCGGCAGGTAGTAGTAGTAGTAGTAGTAGTAGTAGTAGTAGTAGTAGTAGTAGTAGTAGTAGTAGTAGTAGTCGTAGTAGTAGTAGTAGTAGTAGTAGTAGTAGTAGTAGTAGTAGTAGTAGTAGTAGTATTAGTAGTAGTAGTAGTAGTAGTTAGTAGTCGTAGTAGTAGTAGTAGTAGTAGTAGTAGTAGTAGTAGTAGTAGAGTAGTAGTAGTAGTAGTAGTAGTAGTCGTAGTAGTAGTAGTAGTAGTAGTTAGTAGTAGTAGTAGTAGTAGTAGTAGTAGTATAGTAGTAGTAGTCGTAGTAAAAGTAGTAGTAGTAGTAGTAGTATAGTGGTAGTAGTAGTAGTAGTAGTAGTAGTAGTAGCAGTAGTAGTAGTAGTAGTCGTACTAGTAGTTTTGGTAGTAGTCGTAGTAGGAGTAGTCGTAGTAGTAGTCGTAGTAGTAGTAGTAGTAGTAGTAGTAGTAGTAGTAGTAATAGTCGTAGTAGTAGTAGTAGTAGTAGTAGTAGTAGTAGTAGTAGTAGTAGTAGTAGTAGTCGTAGTAGTAGGAGTAGTCGTGGTTGTCGTAGTAGTCCTTGTCGTAGTAGCAGCCGTCGTAGTACATTAGGCATGCGAATCGTAGTAGTTGATGTGGCCGTGGTAATAGTGGTAGTGCTTGTAGCCGTGGTCCTGGTTGTAGTGGTAGTAGGAGTTGTCTTTGTCGTTGGAGTAGGAGTGAGGGTCGGAGGAGAAGTAATAATAGTAGTAGTCGTATTCCCATCAGTAGTAGTAGTTGTTGTCGTCGTAGTAGTCCTCGTAGCCGGGGAAGTAGTAATAGTCGTTGTAGTAGCGGTCGTGGTCGCACTACTAGTAGTTGTAAACGTAGTCGTAGTAGTGGTCGCAGTAGTAGTAGTAGTAGTAGTAGTAGTAGTAGTAGTAGTAGTAGTAGTAGTAGTAGTAGTAATAGTAGTAGTAGTAGTAGTAGTCGTAGTAGTAGTAGTAGTAGTAGTCGTAGTAGTAGTAGTAGTAGTAGTAGTAGTAGTAGTAGTAGTAGTAGTAGTAGTAGTAGTAGTAGTAGTAGTAGAAGTAGTAGTAGTAGTAGTAGTAGTAGTAGTAGTAGTAGTAGTAGTAGTAGTAGTAGTAGTGGTGGTAGTAGTGGTAGTAGTAGGAGTCGTGGTGGTAGTGGTAGTAGATAGTAGAAGGATGTGCCGTAATCGTACTAGAAGTAGCAGCAGTAGTAGTAGCCGTAGTGGTAGTAGCCGTCCTTGTAGTCGTAGTAGTGGTCGTGGTAAGTCGGAGTCTTCGTAGTGATAGTAGTAGTAACAGTAGTAGCCGCCGTGGTCGCATTAGCAGCGGCAGTCGTAGTACTGGTAGCCGTCGTCGTCGTCGTCGTCGTCGTCGTAGTGGTAGTCCCCGTAGTAATAGTCGTAGTAGTAGTAGTAGCCGTAGTAGTAGTAGTAGTAGTAGTAGTAGTAGTAGTAGTAGTAGTAGTAGTGTTCTTTGTCGTAGCAGTCGCAGGTGGGGTAGTAGTAGTAGCAGCAGTACTGGTAGACTTTGTAGTAGTAGTTCCAGTAGTAGTAGTCGTAGTAGTAGTAGCAGGAGTAGTAGTAGTGGAAATTCTGGTATCTGTATGAGTGGTTGTAGCAGCGGCAGTAGTAGCAGTCGTGGCGCAAGTAGAAGAAGTCGTAGTCGTCGTAGTAGTGGTAGAAGTAGTAGGAGCCGTAGTAGGAGCCGTAGTAGTAGTAGTAGTAGTAGTAGTAGTAGTAGTAGTAGTAGTAGTAGTAGTAGTT